GTTTGGTTTGGTTTGGTTTGGTTTTCTTTCTGTTCTCCTGTCCCCTCCCCCCCAGCCCTGACCCCGCTTTAAAGGCAGTGGTTGATGTGGGGCGGGGAGCACGGACCCCGTTAGGGCAGCAGGACCCGAACCCCGGGAAGTGGGAGCCAACAGCCCCACGTTTGCAGGCAGGATCCGGGTGCTTCCAAACCGCATCAGGAGCAAAACCCRAGGCTCTTAGGAAGCAGCAGCACCCAAATAAGCCAAACTTGGGGGATTCATCCCCAAAATGCAGCCACTGTTTGGCGGGGGAAACCTGCCCATCCCGAGCTGCATTTCCCCCTGCTCCGGACAAGGTTTTGGCACTGGATGTGTTTCGCAAAGCCGGGATGATGCCCAGCCCTGGCAGCACCAGGCCCTTATTTTTGGGGGGAGGTCAGTGCAATGGGGGAGGCAGCTCCTGGAGGCGCCGGTGACATCGAACCCAGCCAGGTGCCCCCAGAGGGGACGGGGGGGGGACAGCCTCTGGGCTCCGGCCAATGCCCCAACCGCTGGCGTGTCCCTGGATCCGCATGTTCCTGGATCCGCATTTCCCCGGGCCCACATGTTCCCAGATCCGCATGTCCCCGGATCCGCATGTCCCCCACGTCAGCGCCTGGCCTGTGGTTCGCCCGCACCGGCCGCCTAATTGCCATGTTGTGGGGGGACAGTGGCACCGGCACCTCCTCCGCCGGGGCCACGTTAACCCCTTGTGCACCGGGAAACTGCAGCGCAGCCTCGTCCCCCTCCCCGGGGTGTCCCCCGCGGGTCACGCTGTTCCTTGCGGGAATGCCTGGAAATAACCACCCCCCGTCCACCCTCTGTGGGCGCTGGCGCCTTCGGCTGGGATGGGGACGCCGGGTCTGGTGTCCCCAGGCAGGGCGCTGCTCCGGGCGGGTTTGGGGGAGCTCCCTGCAGTCCCCACGGTCACCCCTATCCCCAGCAGCCCCTGGTCACTGTCCTCAGGGCTGGGGATGCAGCTGCCACATGGGGGCATYGCGGAGCCTTGGGTGGCACCGCTTGGGTGCTCCTGGATGCCTGGGTGCATCCAGGTCTGAGTCCATCCAGATCCAAGTCTGCTGCATCCCAGGGACCGCTTGGGCATGGAGCGGGAGAGCGGCTGACGCTTGGGATCTTTCCCGCCGCCTTGGCTCCTGGCTGCTCCGGCCTGTCCCTTCGCCCACCGCGGCAGCCGGATCCGGCCGAGGAATTTCAATCCCGGGCAAAAAAATCGCGGAAACCCTCCCAAAGCGCCTGGCAGCGGCGGCGGGGGATTTCCAGCCCCGCCAAGGACACATGGGTTCAATTAGGGACAAGGAGGACATGGCACGGAGCAGGTTGCGGCACGGGCCTCTCCGCTGGCTTCCCGGGATGCAAACACCCCAAAACTGGGCAGCTCTTGGCGCGCCGTGCGGGATCCCGGCAAAGCCACCGCGGGGAAGGCCGGGCGGGTGACGCAGGCGCGGGGGGCCGCGGTGACCACGGCTGGTGCCCGCGGGGGCYGGGGCGCCCGCTCCGCTCCGGCTCCGGCGCCTTCCCGAGGGAGCCCGTGCGCTCCGCTGGGATGGTGATTAAGGCGATGAATAAGGAGAGCCCGGAGCATCTGCTCCCCGAGCACGGCAGCACGTGGGCATGAGCTGTTTGGGGCCACTTTGCGCTTCCCCAAAACGGCCGGGGGGACCTGCCCGGTGGGGWCTTGCTCCTCTGAGTCAAGGGCCACGTGGGCTTCGCCGCGGGCCACCGAAAGCCACCGTGTCCGGCGGCCGGGGCGTGATGGCCGAGGCGGTCACCTGCTTCCGGCGCGTGCCCCGGTGACACTTTGTCCAGGAAATTGCGAAAGGGCCCCCCGGGGTGGCCCTCAGGGTGTCACCATCATGTGGCAGCGGATGCCACRGGGCCGCCTTTGGGGACAGTCCCAAAGCTTCTGCTATGGCCTTTCCTGGGAGACCTGGATCCCATTGGGTCTCATGAGAGCCTTTCCGCAAGTCCCATGGGATCCCCAGCACCTCCCGCATCGAAGTGGCCCCAGATCCCAGCTTGGGATGGGCGGCGGAGGCGGTGGGAAGCCGGGACCTCGTGGGAGCGATCGCCTGGTGCCACTTTGGGACCGGAACGGCCAGAAGTCACTGGGATCAAGGAGCAGCTGAATGGACACAAATAGCTGTTTTTCCTTGAAAGACAAATCTTTTTTTTCTGCCAAAAAAAGAGCATTCCACCAAGAAAGGCTTTGCATGGAAAGTGCTTGACCTTTCCTATCAGTTGATTTCCGGGAATTGGGCCAGYGAATAAAATCAGGCCTCTCTCCCGTTTTTCTCCCCCCAGCTCTCGCGTTTTCTGCCGGGCGCTGGGAGAGGAGCAGCCTYGGAGGCCGGGAGCAGCCAGGACCACCTGCCACCCTCCGAGGGGCTGAAGGACACCCCAAAAACCTGCGTGAGCTCGGGAGAGGAGTCGCAAACCTCTGAAGACTCAGATCCTCCCTTCTCCTTTTTTTTTTTTTTTTCCTTTTTTAATTATTTTTTCCTCTTTTTTGACAGCCGAGGCAGAGGCCCCTGCTCCGCTTCCTCCTTTTGGGATGGAAAAGAGTGGGAAAGAAGTAAAAGTGGTTTTAGCTCTGGTGTGTGGGGGGAGGATTCCCATRCCAGCACTTCCCGCTCCTACCCTGGGGCTGTGGAGAGCTCTGATTCCCTGGGACGGAGCCGGYGCA